CTTGCCCTCCTCTACAACGGCACATCGGTCACCATGGAACGGCTCCCGACCCTGCCGGGCATCCCATTCCAGAACCACCGCGGAATGAGTTCCCATGCAGCACGTCTACAGCAGCAAATAAACCAGGGATTTATGCAGCTAGTGGCCGTCTCGCTCTGCAGCTGGGGGTCAGAGAGAGATACACTGCGTGTCTTCTACTTGGCCCTAGTGCAAGCCAAGGCAATGTATGGTATAGAAGTATGGCACTGGGACGCAGCCCCACCTCGCGATCAGCTCTAAATGCCGGGCAGTGCAAAGCCTGCAAAATAATCGCCGGCATTCCTAAAGGCAGCCGCACAGAAGACGCTTTACTTGAGGCCAACCTGCAGCCGCTTAGTACAACGGTACTCACTCGTAGCCTCAAATATGCGATCCTGTGCGAAACGCGAGGGGGGGCGGTACGTGACAGTGCCAGAGTGGTATACCAGACGGAACACCCCGTACGACAACTGTATACCACCATCATGGCACAATACCCAGAACTCCATATTGAAGCTAGGACCCCGCCCCTGGTGCCCCTCACGCTGCGGTGGGCATCCCGGGCCCTGTTTCACACATCGCTCGAAGGTGTCACTGCGGAGGACCCGGACGAGGTCAAGCTTCAAGCATGCACCCGATGGATAGCCCGCCACTTCCGCAGGAAAGGACCCCAACCACCTGAAAGACTACACTATGAACTATGGACGGATGGCTCTGTCGAACTAGGAGAAAAATATGGCACAGCAGCCATGATTTATCTCAACAGAGAGCTCATCGCCCAAGCAAAGGCAGGCGCAGGACCGATTGCGTGTAGCTACCCGGCTGAATCAATCGCATTGCAAGTTGGACTGCAGAAATTGCTGGACGTCATTCCCCATCGCAACACTCGACCGTGCAGAGTCTCTGTCTTCAAGGAAACCCTGTCACTCATCACGGCACTACAAACAGGTCCCCTTACAGCAACAGACCACATATTACGACTACTATGGAACCTGTTATTGGACATCCAACGCCGCAAGGCACGGGTACGGCTACAATTTATATTTGGCCACTGTGGCATTGCAAAGAACGAGGCATGTGATAAAGAAGCGAAGACGGCCTCTGACCTACCACAGCGCGGGGACACGTGGATACCGGATGTAGCAGCGCTGGCGAAACGCCATATACGCAGCCAGCTGCCCAAACCATCCACCCACCGCTCCAGCATCACCGGCCATTGTAACCCAACACGCAATGATCCCAGCTTAACTCGGAAAGAAGAGGCGGCCCTAGCTCGTTTTCGCACTGGTGTATCTCACCGCTGCGGCTGCCTTCTGCGCAAATTGCTGGGCACAACGCCAAATACATGCAGGTGGTGCAACCCCATAGAACACCCTCCCCCTCTCAAAAAGGCTCGAATAGAGACGCCGGCGGCAAACACAGAGGCAGCGCCTTTGCGTTTCCGTGATCCGGTCAACTTCCCGGTATGTCAAACCCGTTATGGCTGTCGGTCAAGCGCTGTGGTTCACATGGTCAACAAACATGGATTCACACGTGCCCGCGCACTCTGGAAAGCCAAGCATCCCACAGCTGAGGAGCCGCCGGGCATCCCGCCAGAACACCCCCCCCTCCCCAGCACCAAGGCCCAAACGCACCGCACTGGACACAACGAGCGATCTCAACCCGATCGTCAAGAAGCGGCGAGAAGAATGTGCTTGCAACCTATGCGCGGCGTCGTTTAAAGGACAGGTGGGGCTAACAAGGCACCTTTGCGACTTCCACCCCCAGCAATACCAAAACGCAGAACGTAAACGAGCGCGGGAGATGGAAGAGAAGGCCAAAACCTTGCCTCTTCAATGCGACCACTGTGGGTTCGGAGCCCTAAGTAAGACGGGACTCTTATCCCACATCCGCCACAAGCATCGCCCACCACAAGAGCCGCCACGCATAGTGGCACCACGACCTGCACTATGCTGTGCGCTGTGTCGCAAGGCTATGGGCAACGCTGGAGGACTGGCAATCCACATGAAATACAAGCACCCCGGCGAATAGAATAATAGAGCACAAGACCCAAACACAAGCACACCAAAACCTCCCCAAGCGAGAGAGAGAGGACTCCCCTACCTTGAGCGCCACCCCCATAAAACAGGGAAAAGATGAAGCAGAATTGCCCCATCTTAAAAAGCGTATGAGAACAGAGGCTTCCTCTCCGACCGACGACCAGCGAGAGAACGAGGGGGCCGCCCGCCTACCGCCTGAGCGGCGGGGGGAAACACAATGCTTGGTGTGTTTGAAATGGTTTGCTGCTATTGGTTCAGTTCGAACGCACTGCAGACGATTTCATGAGGGCCAGGGGTTCGACCAACGGGAAAACGCCGGAGGCCCCAGGAGGATGCTCCTGACGACTTGCTTCTTTCGGCCTTCTCGTACCCCACGTGCGGATTCCAGTGCCACAGCAAACGCGGACTCACAAGGCACCGCATGGTCAACCATGGATTCAGGCCGGACGCAGTGAAACCAAGCCAACGCGGACAGCGTGAAGAGACGAGCCTGCATCTATTGAGCTGTCTCGCATTAAGGAGTCTACGGTGTCACTTTGGGGTGGGTGGGGGCGGCGCGAAGAGGTTATGCTTCATGCAGAAGTTGGCCAAATACCTGCTTGCAGTGGAAAGGCTTTGTTCTCAACGGCCTTCCCAGACAGAACCGACGCTCACCATATAGAACTGGGGTAGTTCCCTCTCCCCTCTAAGCTTCGTCTTCCCCTCTAAATTTTTGTTGCCCTTAGCTGCCATCACGTGCCTCCCCCCTGGGAGAGCTTCAACCAATGGGGCGCGTAGGTTTCCCAGGGCCCACTGAAAGGAA